CCAGGGTTTCCCCCACAGCCCCAGCTGGCGTGGCCAGGCCCCAAGTGTAGGATGGGGCTTCCCCTACGAGGGCCGGTGGCAGCCAGAACTGATACAGCCCCCCTGGTCCGGGGCCAGGACGACAGGTAACTGTGAGCTGGGATATGGCTAGGAATACCTGTGGGAGTCCCTGAGGAGAGTGACATTTGGGAGGAAGGCCAGGGAGCTAGGACCTGGGTTCGTGGGGGGTTGGGTAGCTGGAAGGCTGACACGCCGAGGGTTTCTTGGAGAAGCTGGGAGCTAATGTCTGGGTCCCCCCAGCAGCTCTAACCACCTCTTGTGTCTCTGTCCTCCAGCTGAGGAGGGTGGGAGTATCTGAAGCCATGACTGGTGCCTCAGTGAAAGTGGCAGTGAGGGTTCGGCCCTTCAATGCCCGTGAGACCAGCCAGGATGCCAAGTGTGTGGTCAGCATGCAGGGCAGCACCACCTGTGAGTGAGTCCCAGGAGCCTGGCAGGGGACGGGCGGGGTGGGCCAGGCCCACCACGCAGGCTAGTCCTGCTGGGCTGAACCCCGGAGAAGGGCTGTTCCCAGCACAGAGCAGGTGCTAGTTGTAAGGGTGGGGGTTGGGACGGGCTGGCCTTTCCGTGCTCCCAGTCCCTGGGAGGGGGAATGCTGGCCTGGAGCCCTCCATTGCCCAATCCAAGGAGGCAGTCTGGTGGGGGCGGGTCCTAGGAGGCCAAAATTAGCTGTGGTGCGGGAGGGGGTGGGGAGTATTAAAGGGGAGAGATGAACTAGGACAGAGGAGGGAGTACTAGGATGCCTGCATTCAGGGGCTGGTGGGCAGTGGGCAGAGGTCGGGAATACCTGACCTTGGCCTTCCTTTGCCCTCTGCTGCCCCCTCAGCCATCATCAATCCGAAACAAAGCAAGGATGGCCCCAAAAGCTTCACCTTTGACTACTCCTACTGGTCACACACTTCGGTAAGGTTGTTGGGCTGGGGAAGAGCTAAGCAACGAGGGACAGGGGATTTAGGTCCTGGGCGGGGGCATTGCAGGGGAATAGCACCTGTGGGGGGTTGGTGGGATGGGGTGAGTAGGACACGGGTTGTGACTGGGAGCAGGAAATTGAATAGGACCCCATGGATGATTAGGATGTGATGGGGGTGGGAAGCGCACAGGACCTTTGGGCAGTCTCTGACAATGGGGGCAAGCCTCCCGGGACTATGACACTAAGGACAAAGCCATGTAGGGCTCATGCTGTCTTTCTCTGCTCCATTTCCACCCAGGCTGAGGACCCCCAGTTTGCATCTCAGCAACAGGTGTATCGGGACATTGGAGAAGAGATGCTGCTCCACGCCTTTGAAGGCTACAACGTGTGCATCTTTGCCTATGGGCAGACCGGGGCCGGGAAATCCTACACCATGATGGGGCGGCAGGAGCCAGGGCAGCAGGGCATTGTGCCCCAGGTACTTGCCGGGACCTGGCAGGGCCGCCGGGGCGGAAGCATCTTCAGCTGTCCCGAAGGGGTCTAAGGGTGATGGAGCAGAGAGCTGGCTCTCTGAGGCCCTTAGTGACAGGGAATGTGATGGTGGGTAGGGGTTGGCTGCAGCCTGGACATCCAGGACCCTCCAGAAGCAACAAGGCTCCGTAAGGAGAGCCAAAGCTATGGTATCAGAGAGCCCTGCTTTGAACCCTGGTTCTGCCACTTACATTTCCCTTGTCTCATAGCCGCTGTGAGTATAACTACCCTGTATTCTGGGGTACCGTAGTTAGCGTGATGAGTGTACAAGAAGCCAGCTGAGGATAACTGATAGATGCTCGTAATTCTCCCTGGCTCTGCGGTGCAGTGGCCTTGCACACAGGCTCTGGAGTTAGGATGCCTCGGTTTGCTAGCTGTGACCCCGGGCAAGTGTGAACCCCTCTGAGGTTGCTTTCCCATCTGTAAAATGGGAATGACCCCTCCCTCAGGGTTGAGTTAGGGTTCAACTGGACCACTTAGGACAGGTCCTGGACTGATGCTGGGCGCCGCAGGTGCACTGTGTACAGCAGCTTTTCTGTGTCCTCTCCAGCTCTGTGAAGACCTCTTCTCTCGTGTTAGTAAGAACCAGAGCACTGAGCTCTCCTATTCTGTGGAGGTAAGCCCGGGCCTAGGCGGGCAGGAGGGAGGGCGTGGTGATGCTGGGGAGAGCGGGGGAGAGAGGAGTGGTTAAGACCAAGGGCAGTCTCTGAGGCAGCCAGCCTGAGATTCATGTCCTGCCAGTTACTAACAGTGGCTTTGAGCAAATGATTTTCTCTCTCAGCTGCTGAGTCTGTTCATCTATGAAATGATAATGGCGGGATCCCCGTCCTAGGTTGTTGGGTGGTTCAGTAAGCACATGCGAAGTGCTTAGCACCATGCCTGGTGCCTAGTAAATGCTCAAATCACCAGTTTCATACTCAGTGGAGTATAGGGTGTTCCATAGTATTTTGTTTGCTTGTTATGTTTTTTTTAAAATTGAATTTATTGGGGTGACATTGGTTAATAGAATTATATAGATTTCAGGTGTATGATTCTGTAATATAGGGTGTCCCAAAATTCATGCAAGATTTGAATTTTGCATGAGCATTAGCAACAACAACAAAAAATAAAAGCCTAATTTTACTTGGTTTATTGAATCAGATTCTAATATCTGTTGCCCTTTGATTTCAATCCCTTCAATTTGATAAGCATTACCAAGTACCAATTATGGCCCAGGAGCAGGGACAATGAAGACCAATGAAGACCACGGCTTTGCATATGTGCCAGCAAAGCCGTGGAGGCCATTTACCTGATGTCCTATTCCATACATAACCCTATACTGTATACTTTATGAATCAATAAAATTTTACAATTTTTAATTATAAACCTGTGTTTCCTATCAAAATTACTTCTTGCGCGAATTTTGGGACACCTTATATATCATCAGTACGTTGTGTTGTGTGTTTACCACTGCAAGTCAAGTCTTCCTTCACCATTTATCTCCCCATACGCTCTTCTGCCTCCGCCCACTCCCCTCTACTTCTGGTAATCACCGTACTGTTATTTCTTATCTTCTTCTTCCACTTAGGTGAGCTATATGGAGATCTATTGCGAACGGGTACGCGACCTCTTGAACCCCAAGAGTCGGGGCGCTCTGCGGGTCCGGGAGCACCCCATCCTGGGCCCCTACGTGCAGGACTTGTCTAAATTGGCTGTGACCTCTTACGCAGACATTGCCGATCTCATGGACTGTGGCAATAAGGCGAGGTGAGGTGGGCCGGTGGAGTGGAGGGAAAGGGAGCCAAGCTTAGAACGGTGAGAGGTGGGATCCAGTGACCACTCCCTTTCCCCCAGGACTGTGGCTGCCACCAATATGAATGAGACCAGCAGCCGTTCCCATGCCGTCTTCACCATTGTCTTCACACAGCGTTGCCATGACCAGCTCACTGGGCTGGACTCAGAGAAGGTAGGGACCCCCCTCCCCACTATCCCTACCTAGTAACATGAAATGGCCTTGTGTTCCTCCTCCCTGCCAACGCTGGGTGTGAGTGCCTTCTCCAGGCTTCCAAAGGTCTCTGTCCTTCCCCTCTCAGATCATAGGGTGCAATCTCCCATTTGCTTGTTTGTCCTTCTTACTAGACTTCTCAGGGCAGGGCTTGGATTCCACTGTACCTTGTTCTGGCACACAGTGGGCAAGTAAATACCTATAAACAAGATAAATGCACAAATGGATGAATAACCAGTCCCTTATTATTGTCTCAATAAATTTCATTTCCTCCTGTCCTGTTCCCTCGCCCCTCCTGCATTTCCCCATCCCTTGCCAACAGCCCAATTCCCTTGCTGAGTGTTCTGCTGATTTGCCTGCCCCGCCCTCTGACCCAGTCACCTCTCCCTCTTCCTCTGACCCAGGTCAGTAAGATCAGTTTGGTGGATCTTGCTGGGAGTGAGCGGGCTGACTCCTCAGGAGCCCGGGGCATGCGCCTGAAGGTGAGGAGGCTTAGGAGGGGCGGACAGGGCTAGTGTTGGGGGCTGTGTGCAGTGGTCTCTCATCCTAACTTGGGACTCTGGTTGCAGGGAGGAGGGTGGGGAAGTGGGTTGGAGTGGGAGAGGAGGGCCTCATTCCTCACATTCCTTATCGCTTTTCAGGAAGGTGCCAATATAAATAAGTCCCTGACTACTCTAGGGAAGGTGATCTCTGCCCTTGCGGATATGGTAAGACCTGGGGTGGGAAGAGAAGGGGCTCTGGGTGAGGGGACACCGGGGATGGCCCACCCTGACCCCCTCCCCTCTTCTCTCCCTCAGCAATCAAAGAAGCGGAAGTCGGATTTTATCCCTTACAGGGACTCTGTGCTCACCTGGCTACTCAAGGAGAATTTGGGTGAGGAGTTCCACCTCTCTGTCTTTGCTGACCTTGCCACCATTCTGCTAACCCCCTTGGCACCCTGAGAAGCTTAAGTTCTCCAGTTGTCCGATGGACTCTCCCCTGACCTGGGGAACATCCTTTGAAGATGTCCTGTTGCTGAGATCAAGGCCACACCCTGCCTGCCAAGCCAAGTGCCTCACTAACCTGGCCACTCATGACCCCGCTCTGACCCTACACCCACTGCTGACTTCCTCCTCCTCTTGCTGCTCTCTGTCCCACGGCTGTCTGTCGTCTCCTTGCCCTCACCTCTGCTCCCCCTAGCTACTAGATTTCATGCGTAGCTCCACAATGCTTAGCTTCACCCTACCTTTGACAGTGCCCCGTCAGACCCCTGTCAGGGCACTAAGGCCCCCTGACCCACTATGACTTTCCTTAGGACCTAGCCCAGCTTAAGCTTTCCCCTCCTCTCCATGCATAGGTGGGAACTCACGCACAGCAATGATTGCAGCCCTGAGCCCCGCAGACATCAATTACGAGGAGACTCTCAGCACCCTCAGGTGGGGCTCTGGTGGGGTGGAAACAGCATAAGAAAAGTGCCAGGGGACCTCAGAGGCTGGTAGGTAGTTCAGGACCTTGCCCATGAGACAGAGTTGACCCTCAACTGTGCCCCAGTATTTTAAAACCTGGGAGGGAGAGAGGGAAATAGGCAGCAGGCAGCAGACTAAGGTCACCTGGGTCTGGGCCTCACCAATCCCAATCCTCCTCCTCACCCAGGTATGCTGACCGCACCAAGCAGATCCGCTGCAATGCCATCATCAATGAGGACCCTAATGCCCGGCTGATCCGGGAGCTGCAGGAGGAGGTGGCGCGGCTGCGGGAACTGCTGATGGCTCAGGGGCTCTCAGCCTCTGCTCTGGGAGGTAGGGCTCCAAGGGAGGGGCAGCTCAGGGATCCCCCTTGGCTTGCCTCAACCCTCCTCATTTGCCTTTGCCCAGTCCTGGGGCCAGGGAGGGGCCACTGACCACGAAGCCCTTCATGTCCTCGGTGACATGGTACAGATATGGAGCGGGGACTTACCCTGTCTTGCAAAAGTTCACGTGAAACATAAGCTTAACAACAGTTAATAGTGGGATGGTTTCTAAAGTTTACTGCTTAGCCTCACTGATACAAAACGATGTCCATTCTAGAGGATGTAGAACTGTATGGGCTGCATCAGGTGTTGACTCCGAATCAGTATTTGCGTCCATCCCACTGAGGACAGTCAGGGTCCTGAGGGGCACAGTGGAGGAAATAGGGTGTCCATTCTTGGTAAGAGAAGGATAAGGTAGATGTAAAAAAAAGAAACAAAAACAGTCTAGTCTCTCTTATCCCAGAAGGCAGGATCAGAAACAATGGCCACCTGTAACGGAGGTAGATTTTAGCTCAGCATAGCTGAGAACTTTCTGATAGTGTGAGTCATCTAACAATGGAAGGAACTCACTGCCTTGTTCAGTAATGAGCTTTCCACCCTTAGAGGGGAGCAAGCAGAGACTGGGTGCCCATTTGTTAAGGCTGCAGTAAGAGGCTTCCTGGTTGGTGGAGGTTGACCAGATGTCTTTGGAAGTCCTTATAGACCGGTCCTCTCTGAGGCCTCTACATTTCCAATCAGCTACATCTTTCCTTAGCCTCCTTCTTTGCCTTCTCTCTCCTTCCCAGGCCTGAAGGTGGATGAGGGGAGTCCTGGAGGTGCTCTGCCAGCTATAGCGTCTCCCCCTTCCCCAGCTTCACCCTCATCTCCCCCCACACACAATGGGGAACTGGAGCCATCATTCTCCCCCAATGCTGAGCCCCAGATTGGGCCTGAGGAGGCCATGGAGAGGCTGCAGGTGGGAAGCTGGAGCTGGCCAGGACTGGGGACCTGGGGGCTGATGGGAGTGTAGTTCTCTAAAGCCAGGGTCGAAGAGGAGGAAGGAATCCCAGGAGTGAGGTGGGCCCCACGGTAGGTGCTTGTCCCAGAATGTCCTGATCCCCATCTGCCTCGTGCCCCCAGGAAACAGAGAAGATCATAGCTGAACTGAATGAGACCTGGGAAGAGAAACTACGCAAGACGGAAGCCCTGAGGATGGAGAGGTATGAGGGAAGGGGGGACAGCTGGAGCCTTGGAAGACTGGGGGATGGGGAGGGAAGGTCAGATTCTTTAGGGGAGCAGTTCATGGGTAGCGATGATAAGACTAACATTTGTTTCTTGGCCTGCAGAGAAGCATTGCTGGCTGAGATGGGGGTGGCTGTCCGGGAGGACGGGGGAACCGTGGGTGTCTTCTCTCCAAAGAAGGTGAGTGAGTGGTTGGGTGAAGAGGCCTAGGAGACCCTGGATGCTTAGAGAAGAGGGTTGGGGGTGGGAGAGTGATAAGTTCTAACTCTGATCTCCGAGTCTCTGAATTGTCCCCCCATCATCTCTGTCCCCACTCCTGCATCTTCTCTCTGTGTTGTCTGTCCATCCCTGCCTTCTCTCTCCCTCCATCTGACAGTTAGCCAAAGAGGCAGGTACTCAGTAAGTGCCTGTGGCCAGGGACTATAGGGACCCAGAAGGGTGACAGGGCCCCTGCCCTTAGGGGGATTCAAGAGCTGCTTAGAATCTAGGTATTTACAAACATAACCTCACGTGTGTATGTGAATTCATGCCTGGAATTTATCTCAGTAAGAAACTGGTTACAGTGGTTGCCCCAGGAATGAGGGAGAGGACCTGGGAGGTTGGAGGTTGGTTGGGTAGAGACTTATTCACAGTATACCATTTTGTATCATTTGACTTCTGTACTCTGTACATATGGTATCTACTCAAAAAATAAGCTAAAATACATTTCAAAAAGGATAACTTGGAAACAGATAAGAAATAAGCACCAAACTGTATGATGATGATTGCAGAAGCAGTGAGAGGCGTAAAGATGGTAGCATCAGTACAGCCTGTAGATGAATGGAAACTGGTTTCCTGGAGAAGGTGGTTTGGAAAATGGAGCGTGAACGAAGGTCAGGATTTGGGAGTAGTGAAGAGCAGAGAGTACATTAGGCTAAGGAAACACAGGTGTCAGTGGGTGGGGTGCGTGTGTCATGTGCCTGGTGTATAGTGGGTAGCGGGTGCTCAGTACATCTTTGCTGAGAGGAAGGAAGGAAGGAAACAGGGTAGGAGTGATCAGGCTCAGCTGGAGACACCAGTAAAGCCTAGGAACGGACCAATCAGAATGGACGCTAGCCATAGACAGCTGGCACAGCTGTATGGGTCAGGCATACTGATGAAGGGATGACGTGGAGGCCAGCTGGAGTAAGTCAGGAATTCCCAGTCCCTTGGAGAGCTAGCCACATCTGTTTGGTCCACTTTACGAAGGAAAATAGGATCAGGACCCAAGTCAGATACAGTGCTGATGCAGACAGGGTCACGGGGACTGCCTAGAAGAGGTGGTGGGTTGTTGGAAGAAGGCCCTCCTGGTTTCATAAGATCGGGGCCGTCTGGGAGGCTGAGCAAGCAGGGAGCATTGGACAGGGATCTGAAAAGAAAGGGGTGTGCTTTGCATGGCCTACGGCACAGTGAGGGAGTGAGGGAGTAAGAGAGCTGTGGGTGGATGATGGAGGGTGGCAGGCTGGACTGAGGGACCTGGTCCAGGGGTGAGTACCCAGGGCTTGGGATCCTCCTGAGGTCTGCATCTGGGGGAGGAGCTACATATGGCTCTCAGGATAGCTTGCAGCCACCTTGAGGTACTGGTACCTGAGGCGCTAGCACCACAGTTGCGGGGTTAGAGGAAAAATAGAAGTGGGTGAAAGGTAGATGTGGTGGGCGTTTCTTCCCTGGAGGGCTTCCATTGCACAGGGAAGCCACCTTCTGAAGCCCAGGGACCAACAGGGATGTGTTGTTTTTTGTTTGTAATTATTCTTATAAAGGTGATGTATACCAGAGAGAACCCTCACGTAGTCCTTTTCCTTCCCACCGTCAGGTTCCCCTCCCAGAGGCAAGCCCTCTTACCAGGTCCTGGCGTGTTCTGGAGGTAGCCAGTGCACACACAAGTGTGTTATGTATAATTAGACGCAGGTGTGTGTGCATGCAGGCACGAGTGCCTACATACATGACCTCTTTCTGGAATAGTAGTGGTTGAGTACTTTATACTTTATTTTTTCATATAACATTGAAATTCTGTCTGTTCTTTTTTGTGGTGTCAGAATATTCTACTGCTGATGGTCATTTAGGTTGTATCCCATTTTTAATATTATAAATAATATTACAACGGTTGGTCTTAAATAGGTCTGCTATCTGTAGAAAAAAATTCCTAGACGTGGAGACTTGGGTCAAATAGTAGCTATGTTTTCACATATTTCAATCTATTTTGCCAAAGTGCACTCCAAAGATAATAACCATGTCACTTTATACTCCCGGAAGCAACATCCTCACCCTCTTCTAATTTTTGACCTTTGCCAATCTGGTAAAATGGTGTTTTACTTTTGCATTTTCTCAAGGTGGTAAGGATAAACATATTTTCATATGTTTAAAAGACATCTATGTTTCAGGAGGGGGAGCTGTTAGACTACAGATGGGGAGATGGGTTTGGTGGCTCTAGCCTGGGAATGGTGGGTGGGGAAATGTGGTCCTAGGGGAGAGGCTGTAGTTTGTCTTGGAGAGGGCCAAGAGACTTAGGGAAAGGTCCCTCTTTCTGGGACCCCCCACCACCAGGCCAGCTTAACTAGGTGATTTTTAAACCTGGCTTGGTGCTGCTTTCACAGGGGTGGGAGTGGGTAAGGGTGATGGGGGGAGGACCAAACTCTGGGTCCCCCACCCCCAGCCTCATCCTGAGTGGCTCCCTGCTTATCTGCCTGACATATTAGGCTTCTAGGTAAGGTTTCATTTGAACAAAGGGCTCCAGGGCTGAACAAAGATTGAAAAGCACTGTCCTCAATCATGTCCCCTCTCCCAAGGGATGGATCACTTTCTGCTCTCAGAGCCCATCAGTGTTTGGCGTTCCTGACACTACAGTGTTGGGAGGGGCGTGAGAGTCCCTTGGGAGAAGAGGAAGTGTGGCAGCAGTGAATTGTTGGGGTGCCTGGGTAGAGGGGCAGACACATGGATACATGGTATATCCACCATGGATCACCATTCAGGGCGTCCCCAAAGAAATATGGGGCCCGACTCTTGGCTCTTTTCCCCTACACAGTGTGCTTTCATGCCTCCATGCTGTGCTCACACTCCTCTTTTACCTGGAGCGCTCTCCATTCTGCACGTCCACATCCTCGTCCTCAAAGATCGGGTCCCATGCTGCCTTTCCACAAGGTCCTCTGGAACCTCCTCTGAGTTCCTGCAGTTCTTCACTTTATTCATCTTTGCACCTACCCTCCCCCCAGCCCCGGATATGGTGGCACTCACCTCCTGGGAACAAATGAGTGAATGAATTACTAAGTGAAGATGTGAAAAGATCAGAAACTCTACTGTGAGGCCTCCCTTTCCCACTTGTAACGTTGCCAAGTCTTATCTCCCCAAGTTGACCGATTTCCTTGCTGACAGGACAGCAGCATTGGGGGTGGCTTCATCGCTGTGTCCCTCCTAGCACTTCACAGGGTCTTCAGAAAGTAAGTTCTTGTAGAAAGGAGGCAGAGGATCTTGTCTTCAGTTGGCAGGCAGGGGAGAGCTTCGTAGAGGGAGTGGCATTGAGACAGACTGAGGGAAGTGAATGACTAGGACAGGTGGGGATAGGGGTGGGGCTGGGAACATGGGGAGGAGCTCCCATGCATGTTTAGGGACGAAGGAGGTCTTCTGGAATAAGTGTTCAGCAGTCCCCCTGGGTGGGAACACAGGAGAGAGGGACCCCAGGAAGGGGCTGGGATAGGAGGGCTGGGACCCTGATGTGGATGAGGCCCACAGATGCCAGCGTAAAAAGCAGGCTTAGCCCTGGCTGGTTTGGTTCAGTGGATAGAGCATTGGCCTGTGGACTGAAGGGTCCTGGGTTTAATTCTGGTCAAGGACACATGCCCTAGTTGCTGATTGATCCCCAGTAGGGGGTGTGCAGGAGGCAGCCCATCAATGATTCTCTCTCATCATTTATGTTTCTAGCTCTCTCCTCCCTTCCTCCCTGAAATCAATATATATATATATTTATTTTAAAAAGCAAGCTTAAGTCCGGTGGGCATGGGGTGCCAGCTGGGGTGGTCTGAGTGGAGAGGCATGACTTGGTCATGATGCAGTATGAGCAGGAATACTGGGAGACCCCTGGAGACGGCAAGTCAGGCCTGCGGCAGGGTAGACCGAGACAGCAGATAGTAGGGAGGGAGACCTCCCTAGGATGGCAGCAGTGGCATGAGGGGGTGTAGAGGGAAAAAGGCTTATGTACTGTGCTTTCCAGAGTTACATGCCTGGGGAGAGTGGGGTGTTGCTAGAGAACCAAGTCAGGAAAGGGTGCTTTGCGGGAAGGGAATGGGCTGAGTTTTCGATGTGGAGCAACATAATGATCAGCCCGTTAGATGGGGGCTCGACAGGGACAGCACCAGGCAGCTGCTGTGTGACCTTGGCCCCAGGTGAAGCAGGGCTGGGAATGGGCAGTGGCCAGGGAAGATTGGGGAGTCTGCTGGGAAAAGGGGTTTGTTTGTCTTATATGCTTTTGAATTGAACTGACACTGTTTGTTTTTTTAATCCTCACCTGAGGATGTTTTTCCATTGCTTTTAGATAGAATGGAAGGGAAGGGGAGGTGAGGGGACATTGATGAGAGAGACTGCAACTGAGGTACGTGCCCTTAACTGGGAATTGAATCCCAGACCTTTTGGTGTGTGTGCCGATGCTCTAACTACTGAGCAACCCGGCTCGGGCTTGAACTGCCACTTTTTATTTTTAAATTATGATTGTAAGTAAAAGTAATCCATGCTCCTAAGAAATTGAAGCTGTAATAAAAGGTGGGAAGTACCAGTCCTCTCACCTAGTCCCCTCTTGTACTCTCCAGAAGTGGCAAGATACGTTTTGAAGGAAGAAATGAGACCTGGGGACAGGGAATACAGGGAGAGCAGAGGCGAGGGCAGGTGGACTCTAGGCTTCAAGGAGATGGGTGGGTCGAGGTGTCTCTGAAGAAATGGGGCCTTAGGAAGGGTTGCTGACCTGGGAAGGGGTAGATGGTGGGGGCTATTTTAGGCCCCTTATGTATGAGGAGAGGGTGGGTTAGGCTGTTCTGAAAGTGATTGGAGTGGGAGTAAGGAGAGGGCAGAGTTCTCCGAGTGAGGGAGGAGCAGCAGGCTCAGTGCTGGAACCAGGAGGGATGTCCGCTGGAGCTCCTTTCCTCTCCTGCGGCACCCCCTGGCTGGCTCTCAGGATCCCTTCCCTGACCCCCGTTTTCCCACAGACGCCCCACCTGGTGAACCTGAATGAAGACCCCCTGATGTCAGAATGTCTGCTCTACCACATTAAAGATGGCATCACCAGGTAGTGTTTAATCAGTGCCTGGGGGGCAGCCTCTCCTTTTGGGGTGTGATTTGCAGAGGGACGGCCACACTAGTGACTCCCTTTCCTGGTGACCTTGCTGGAAGCACCCCAGACGTCAGGACGGCTGGCTCCACAGCTCTGCCCACTTTCTAGGCTTCCTGAGAAGTGGCTGAGCCTGGCTGCGAAGCAGCTGTCCTGCCTCACCCACCACTTCGGTTTGGCTGGGACGCCTCCTGGGACCAAACTGACCCAGTGCTTTGGGGGTAGCTCCTGACTGCTTGGAGCACAGGCGGGAGTTGGAATCCAGACCACCGCATTTTTAGCCCTTAGCACCACTGCCTGGCCTCCCTTGATGGGACCCTCCCTGTGGGGTAGAGGGAATCCTGGTCCCAGGCCCTCGTTGTTTAGGGGCAGTGCCTGTGCTGCAGGTGGCTGCATGGCTAATGCTAATCTCTGGGGCTCCGTGCCTCTGAGGTCACCTCTTAGAGTTAACGAGGTGAGGGGGCCCCTTTCTGTCTCACCACAGGCATTTACTAGCTGTCCATGGTAGGCAGTGAGCTCTCAGGGTGACCAGCTCTAAGGATGATGGGAGGCCCATCCCCTCCAGGTTCCCTTTTCTCTTCTACTGTGAGTCAGACAGATCTGGGTTCAAATCCCGGACTCACCCCTCCTGGGCTGCATGACCTTGGGCCAGTTACTTTACCTTCTGAGCTTCAGCATCCTCATCTGTGACGTAGAAATAATTACACTTGGCTTATAGAGGGGGAAGAGCTGGCATTCAGAAGGGGCTTGGTGAATGTCCGACACCTGCTTAGGAAATGTTGGCCATTGCTTTCCCAGGGTCGGCCAGGTAGATGTGGACATCAAGCTCACCGGGAAGTTCATTCGGGAGCAGCACTGTGTGTTCCGGAGCATCCCTCAGCCGGACGGAGAAGGTAATGGCTGAGGGAGCGAGTGGAGTGGCCAGACAAGGAGGGGGACAGGGCCCATGTTTCACACTCTGAATTGGGCACTGGATGTGCAGCCATGTAAGAGGGCACGTGTCCTCGCCCTCACAGGGGCTTTGAGCTCCCGGTAAGCATTAGGGAAGTCAAGGGCCCGGCTGTCTGCACGCACCCCGAGTGCTGCAAGGGGCAGGGCGTGGCGAGGGTCTTGAGGCAGAAGCAGAGCACTGGCATTTTGGTGAAGAGGTCGTCTGCCTTCTTTCTTGACTTTTTTATCCTAAAACAGCATCCTGGTCATTTTTTTATGGAAAATTATATTTGTTCCAGCGGGCTATCTGAATTTATCTCTGGAAGATGTGTATATCTATCCAGCTATGACTGCAATGGTTTCAGGGAGTTAATTGGCCCATGTATCCCTTTGATTTCAAAACTTTCAGAGATTTTTTTTGCCTCTCTATGGCCATAGCTGCAAAAGCTTTTAAGAATCACAAGCCCAAAGGGTGAAGGTAGTAGCCTGTCTGACGTAGACAAAACAGTGCTCCTGAGGTTCAGGGTGTATTTTGAGGTCACCATTTTGTTCTTGATCAGTCATTTAAAAAAAAAAAAGCAATGATTTGTGTTCAGTTAGGCCCAAGTGAAGTTGAGCTGTAGGAAATGTGCTGGGCAGGGTGGCAGATGTTACACATGAGCTCTTCATCACCTTGAACTCGTATCTTGTGTCTCACAGATCTGGAAGGAATGCCTAGTCTGATGCTTTTGAAGGCACAGGGAGATGGGACAAGCAATGTCAGCACGTTTTTAAAAATAAGAAAAGACACTGTTGTGTGGCTTGCAGTTCAGGTTTAAGACATGCCCATTGGGCTGCAGTTGGTTCAGGGTCAGCAGGTTATTATTTTTATTTTTTAAATTGAACTTATTGGGTCACATTGGTTAATAAAATTACATAGGTTTCAGGTATACAGTTCCACAGTGCATCATCTGTACATTGTACTGTGTGTTCACCACCCCAAGTCAAGTTGGGTCAGCAGATTCATGCCATCGTTCTGGTCTGGTGCCGGTCCCCAGTGGCAGCATATGCTTCCAGCGCTGTGGGCTAAAAGCTGTTGAATCAGTCCAGCCCACTGAGTTATTGCTGAGTTCCTGTTCTGAGATTCCCAGGCATGCGGAGTGAGCCCGCCCTCAGGAGCTCAGAGTGTGTTTTGAGAGATGACAGGTGAAAAACCATTAGTTACATCAGTAAAAGCAGCTGATGAATCTGTGCCCCAAACATCGGGGACCCTAAAGGTTCCATCCATTTGTGCCTCTGTTCGTACAGCAGATTGAACACTTGAC